CTATTCTTCTCTTTTTTCCTTCTCTCCCACTCCTTTTCCTGTTTGTTTCTGTTGCGCCTTTTGTTCTTTTGTCTAGCCCAACCCGGAATCGTTGTGTGTCGCTGGCTATACCCAGAGCAATATCGAGGTATCCCTCGCCCTTGCCGGAAGCCATGCACGCTTATACTTTACTCTACCAAATTACTCATTGCCTTCAGCTTTATTGTTTTATTCAAAACTTTTTTTCTGTATTCTTTTTACTAATCTTAGACCATAGTTAATCTGACAATATTCACATTGGTTGATTTGTCGCGTCTACCTACCTGTAATTACTAACAGCCATTTATTTCCTGGATTTCTTTTTCCGTGCCATCTGCTTGGACAGTTCTTTGGACCTCCCATACTTCCACAAAGGCCTTCACAAGCTCCTATAGGACTCGCCATACTCGCCATGTCGTCTCGTAACGCTCCAAGCGGGTGCGTTGCGCCCTCCCCAGCCACTGCTGCTCCGCCTTCGCCCACGAATCTGCGACTAACTGTTGGGCAATCGGGCAGTGAGTCGGCCAATGAACCAGGCGGTGACCTAGAGGAACGAATTCTCCAGGACGGATATTGGGAATACGGTCGATTCTATGGCAGCTGGAAGAAAGGGAAATACAATTTTCCAATTGATAAGGTTTGTCTTGCTTAGCTATAGTGTATGCGACGTGCGTACTGACATCATTGCTTAGGAGGAGACAAGTAGGCTGGATATTCTTCACAAATACTTCATCGTAGAATTAGAAGATCGCGTTACTTCTGTTCCCCTAGATAAAGAAGGATCACCCAAAATCATGGATCTTGGTACGGGCACAGGTATTTGGGCCTTCCATGTTGTGGAAGGGTAAGTTTCATCATGTCATCTGGCCCAATTCCGTTGCGTTTCACCGCGCTAATAAACTGCCAGTTACATTCCCAATGCCCAGATCATGGCCGTTGATCTCAATCAAATTCAGCCAGCTCTGTAAGTAGACAACCAGAGGCTTGATTGTGTCCACTCTCTAATGAGTCATCACAGCATTCCTCGAGGTGTAACCACAAAGCAATTTGACCTTGAGGAGCCTTCATGGGAACCGCTCCTCCGCGACTGCGACTTGATCCATATTCGGCTTCTCTACGGCAGTATCAGAGATGATCTGTGGGCCGATACTTACCGCAAAATCTTCGAGTTCGTCTATGATACACCTCACAAGCTCCTTCTCGACTGACATGTTTAGGCACTCGGCCCCTGGAGGCTACATCGAGCATCTGGAAATAGACTGGACACCGCAATGGGATGGCGAGGATCGTCCTACACATTCGGCTATTCGTGAATGGTCCCAGCAATTTCACCGCGCTATGCATCGATACCGCCGCAGCGTCAAAGTATCAACCGAAGACACCAAGCGCATGATGGAAGCAGCTGGCTTCACCGAGTTTAAAGAGACTACGATCCGGTGCTATTTGAACCCGTGGTCTACTGATCGCCACCAGCGAGAGGCCGCTCGCTGGTTCAATCTAGCCTTGGGCCTGGGCCTTGAGGCAATGAGCCTGATGCCCATGATTGACATGCTGCATATGAAGCAAGAGGATGTTGTAGACCTCTGTAAACGAGTCAAGGCCGAAACTTGCGTTTTGCGCTACCATACTTACTTTACTCTGTAAGACCCAACCCGCATTACTTTGAAATCTTTTGGATCAGAATTGACCTGTATACAGACACACCTGGACGGCCAAGAAACCCGCTAGCCCGCCCCAATAAGACGATTGGGTGTCTAGTGTCTTCGTTACTATTCATGACTTTTAGGCGTTTGCGTTCATAATTCATAGGATGCTAGCTGTGACATTGACCAAGATCACTGATTATACGAGGGTAAATCAAAATTACGAATCCTGGACCGTCTTAATGGCGCTCGACATCAAAAACTCGGCCTCTTAAGGCGATCGCGATTTGACGCTCACCTATTTGGCTGAGCTGATGGCCTGAGTAGGGTTAATAACTGACACTATAAACGGATTTGCATGAAGCAAGGAAAATCCAAGGACCAGATCCCACGGCGGCTTCATCTTCCAGTGTCAGTAGATGAGTCTATTTGCCGGGCATCACGGCTTTGAGAGCATGATCCATGTTTATGATAGAGTGTTGTGTGCAATTTAGCGTTTGGGGGTAACAATATAGAATTGAGAAAGAATCTTCTTTCCGCTTACAATATCCTTTCCCTCTTTGCTTTTCTTCGTTGAGCTGAGGTTTTGTTTAAAGCAAGCGTGTTTGGCTTGTAGGGCTACTTGTGGTCTGTACGATTTATCAGAACTATATCGCCAAAAGCTGCCCAAGGTAACATGTTTGGTATAACTACCCAATTGCAAACCATCCAACACCATATCTCGGCACTGTATTTTGCGGCTGTACTGTGATGTTGGTCGACCCTAGTTGATCCTGGTTCGATACGCACACCATGTAACCTGGCCAGATCCGCCCAGCCCAGGGTGTGTAAGTAAACCGGGAGGAAGAGAGAAGCATTCATGAGGGAGGGGGGGAAAAAAAAAGCTTGGCATAACAGGAGCTTCTAACATTAAGAGGGGAAAATGAAATGAAATGGAGGCTCTCCTCTCCGTATACGCAGCCTTGTGTAGGTCTTGGCGATTTGTAATACATAGGACCTAGGTACTGTGATGGAAGGGGAAAACGGCTGTTGGATGCGATGGAGTGGTATTATGTCTCGAATTACGACTGGAAAAACACCAAAAAAATTTGCTTTGCCCCTGAGGATTTCTCGACGTCAGGCGTACAAAAGCTGAATGTGCTACCTGTATATATATGCAAGGGGAAATTTCGTTGACTGACAGGGTGGTTTTAACAAAAGAGGGCGTTTTGCTCACGTATATTCTTGGCACTCGGTACCTACTAACTTCCAGGACGCGAAGGTCAACTGCAGCAGTACTACCCTCTTGATGGGGTCCAAAGGATCACCAAGGCGAGCGAGAAGGGGCCAGTCGGCTCTGGGCCTTTAAGCCACGACGTTGTACGAATGTTACATGTCAGGTGTGGCGGCCAAAAATAGTCTGGGCTCAACTTACCTCGGTGCGGCCAAAGATCGGTATGCGTCTTTGTTACTCAACTAACACACATGATAATAACGATGGATTGGTCACCAGTTTGACTCGTCGAAGAGACTGGACTTGAGGATCCGAGGAATTTTGTCATGGATTAAAGTAGCTGCTGCTGCTGTTATAGCACCGAGCAGGTCTCTGATGTACACGTGATAACAAAGGAAAGGGGAGAAATGTCAAAACCAAGTGCTCACAGCCAGATACAGCCAATACACATGGGAAAAGAGGGTTCCCCGAAATAAAACAAATGTCCAAGCCAAAGCCCTTCCTTATTCCCCTCCTGATCCTCGCCTCGTCTTGCTCGACCACGCATTGTTCTAGCCCCTTTTTTTTTTGCCAACCGGTTTGGTTACACCAAATCTCCTTTTTGCTTCATCAGTTAGGGTTTGTGATGCCAACCACGATTTCCTCTATTCCGTTCCTCTTTATCTATCCGTACATGCCGATTTCGGTTTTTTTTGTATATGATATGCGTGCTTTTGCGTGTGGATGCGTACGCGTGTTTTGCGAACGCGGGGTTCCTAGTCATCTCTTCGTCTCACTCCTCTTTTTTTTCTACCACGGACAACTCTCATGCTCCATCGGCTAAACCTGGCCCGATGAAACGCTCAGGCCTGGATTGTCAATGCTCGGTATGCTTGACTTCGTCTGAAAATCGTGGAACTATATATGCCCCATGACACGTTTAGTGGTGAGAGGCAGTCTCTCCTCGGTAGCCAATGAGCTTGAATCGGCCAATCATCTCGCCAATGGTGAAAAATCCAAGGCACTCAGCGAAGATGACGCCGCCAGCAACGAGCTGGCCGGGTGTCAGGCTGCGGACCTGCTGGAGGAGGTTCTGAGGAGACTTGAGGATGGAGCCGCTCTGGATGGACTTCCACAGGGATTGGTAGAAGGACTGGAAGGTAGCAACGGAACTACGGCACGGATTAGTATCACAAGATGGCATGCAATGCAAAAAGGCAAGTCGCTTACGGAGGGCTCATCTTCTGGGCGTGGAAGACGATCTTGCCGGTCTCAAGGGCGACCTTGCCGTAGTAAACGGCCCGAGGGGTTTGCTCTACACAGTTGACGCTCACGGGTCAGCAACCAATGCAATCGGAACCTGAGTAGGGAGGAGCCACAACAACATACTCTCAACGAAGTTGATCAGCTTGCCGGTTCGTCCACCGACCTTGCCGAGCGCGTTGGTGACGCCACGAGCAGCGCCGGCAATGGCAGGTCCAGCAGCGCCAGCGACGCGCGACAGGCCCTGCGCAGCCTTTGCCTGGTACTCCTTGGCCTTGGCGGTAGCGTCCTTGGCGGTCTCGGAGGCCTTGTTGGCGGCGGTGCTCTCGCTGCGGCGGAAAGCAAGCTGGCGCAGAGCCGGCGAGCGGAGCATGGGACGAGCAAGTGACGAAGACATTATGGCGGTCGTTTCTGTTGCGGATGGACGGAAAAGGAGAGTCCAAGGGGGGAACCGGCGGGTTTCGTTGACGCGGATCGTCTCGTTTCGCAGCAGAATCACTCTCCTTTACGCAGGCGCGGACGGGCGGGCAATTGGTGGAGATTTTTTTGGTTTTTTTTTTGGTTTTTGGATACTCTGTATGAGGGAGAAAAAAAAAGCTCGGGAGATTTCGTGAGGTCGCAAAGCCGAAAGGTGTGATGTGTGGGGGCTTGGCCCGTTTTGGAAAGCACTTTCGGAGGGGAGCGCTTGCTTGGTGCTGTGCTGTGCCTTCCATTTGCCCAAGTTATGGGGAGTACTTGCCGCACGCACTCTGGGCACTCACATTGGCAGGTACTGCCCAAATGCACCCACTATGGCTTTTGGATGAATTGTGATTTTATTTTCCCTTTCTCTGTTTTTCTATTTTCAAATCATCCATTCATTTATTTGCCTTCTGGTTCGCCTGGCCATCGTCACTTGTACATACATGCCATCTCATAATCTCAAAAGCAACAAGAAAAAAGCCAGAGAAGAAGGGGAAACGAGAAAAGCAATGAAAATGAAAACGATGCTCCAAGTGTAAATTGATGGGCAGGTAAGTTGGTCACCCAATCCAATCTTCCTTATATATCAATGATATTTAATTCTTGCAAACCCTCCGAACAGTTTATTGTTTCGCCAATCCATATACGCCACACCCCTTCCTTTATGAAACTCATAATCACACAAATCTTCAATCCAGGCTCTGGATCATAACCTTGATCGCACCGCTCTTGGGATTCGCCGAGGTCTCAAACGCCTTGACGGCATCTTCCAATGTGAAACGATGTGTGACAAACTTGGACAGATCAAGGACGCCGCTCTCGATCAGGCGGATGGCTCGCGGCCAGGTATTGCTGTATCGATATTGCAGCTGGATATCGACTTCTCGTACACTCGCTCGCATAAAGGGAATGTTGATTTCATTCTTGCCAACACCAATGATGAAGACTTTGCCTCCAAACTTGCTGGCATAGATGGCGGCGGCAATGCTACTCTCGACCCCGGTGCATTCCATGGTGACGGCGGGCTCAATGCCGCCAAAGGCTTCGACGATGCCCTGGGCAGTCTCTTCGGCCGACTTTCCGATCTCAATCTTGTGCGTAGTCACGCGCGGGCAGACTTCCTTTGCAAAAGCCAAGCGGCTCTCGGAGATGTCTGTGATGACGAGCGGGCAAGCACCAGCCGCAGCGCAGCAAAGCATGGAAACCAGTCCGATAGGCCCAGCTCCGCAGACCAGGACGGGATCACCAAGTTGGATCTTGGCCCTCTGCATGCCGGCCAAAGCCACACTCAGGGGCTCCAACAGCGCACCGTTCTCATAAGACATGTTGCCAATCTTGTGGCACCAAACGGCCGGGTGGTTGACATAGCGTCGGAGCAGTCCCGGCACCGGCGGCGTAGATAGGAACTCGACCTTTTCGCAGCCGTTGTAACGACCCGTTAAGCAAGGCTCGCAAGCGTTGCAAATGACATTGGGCTCAACAGCAACGCGATCGCCAATTTTGAGACTCGTGACACTGGGGTGAACGGCGATGATTTCACCAGCTGATTCATGGCCGAGGATATGATCGTCCTCTACAATCATGGGCCCAATGCAGCCAGCGTGCCAGAAATGAACATCAGATCTAGACGAAAATGCTCGATTAGCTATCACTCACTCTACGTTTCGTGTAGTAGCATCACTTACCCGCATATGCCGGTGCTGCGGATGGCAATGGTAACCTCACCGGGCTTCAGATCGGCTCCAGATTTGACGGCATCAACGCTGGGTTCAGCTTCGTTTATCCAGAGGTCGTGCTTTGGGTTTGTGAAGACGCCGATGTTGGGCTTCAACGAGGTGGCTGCCCCTCCGGCTTTGGGGGCGTCATCAACGACAGAAGGTGACATAGTGTATGTGTGGTAATTTGAAAACAGAAGCTAGACTGAGGACGTCGGCTCGCAAACAAAGGCAAAGTTATGGTCAAAGTTATGGTCAAGACAAAGTAAGGATCAGCGAAGGAAGCGAGTTTATATATTTAAACACTCTTTGTTTTTACTATTCAGGGTCCAGGAAACGACGTCGGCTATGAGAGGTAAGGCATCTATATACCCAGAAATTCCTCCAATCCGCTCCTAACCACAAACAAGCCTCCTCCTCCTCCTGACCCCTCCGTCCCGCTCATGCGCCGCGAGCTTAAGGTGGGGTTCATCAACTTCCGAATGAGAACATGATTGCGGCGAGCTTCCCGACAGCCAAATTCTGAAATGCTAGCTTTTTAAAATAAGTGGCTCGGGGAGAAGAACGTCCAATGTATTGTCATGGCCATTCCGGCGGATTGATATTGGACCCGGAAAATGCCTAAGCGCGTTCGCTGCCAGACCGTCCGGGGCCGTAGAGACGGGGACCGGTCCTGACCCGCGCCAATCACCGTGGTGGCGACGAATAAACAGCGCCACGAGTGTGGATCGAGAGGTTTGCAGGTCTCATGGCAAGATTATCCGTCTGCTCAAATAGTCGAGATATGCGACAGTATTGCTGACAAGAGTATTAATATCGCAGCATTGGTCTTTTACAAAAATGAAGTTTTTGCAACTTATACAAGCTTCAATATCCAGGGCCCCCCCATATACACTTGGATAATATCCACCCCGCATACCTAGGCAACTTTGTTCGTGTTCAACCGCTTTATCCGCCAGCCCTCTATATAGATATCCGCCATACGTACACTAATGAGGAAATCACCCTTCGGAAAAAATCTAGACTTTCGCCTCATTGGGCTTTACATAGACATCACTGTGCTCCATCCACACCACCAACACAACGACGTTTCTGGTATCCTTCCACGCTGACCTCTTTTTTTCCTCTCGGTCTTTCCCCCACATTAGCTTGATCACCACGGAGCGCCGACTTTTAACTGGTACGGGTATAAACTCGGTGGATCTTTATTCTCTCTTGAATTTAGGCATGTTCCATTCTACCGGCGCTTGCTTCCCTCACACCGGGCAGCCTTGTCTGGTGACCTAGTTCGTCCACCTATTTGCTACAGTATGTGATAAGGGTCGTGGGATTGTTTCTTTTTCTTCTCCCCTTTGGTAGCCGCAGGAGTTAGTTAGTGTGAGATCATCCTTCGTCGTAGCCACTTTATTAGGCAGACGAATTTTTTTGTGTTGAAGTTTGTTATGCAGTCTTGCCAACTGGTTGGTTACACGGCTTGGCTGCCAATTGTAGAAGGAAAAGCTACGTTGAGACAGACGATGGAGGCTTACTTAGGAGTCTGTTGAACAGGAGAAGCAAAAAGAAAGGCAAAAAGAGATAACACTGCGTGAACTGGGAATCGAACCCAGGGCTCCCCGACGTTGCTCGGATGGCAACGGAGAATTTTACCACTAAACCATTCACGCTGGTTCTTTTTTGATGAGAAATGGTGTGTAAGATTGTCATAATGAACTCAGCTTGATTACAGCTACTACTCGTAACGAGAAGGATTGCGAGTTCACTCGGCGGAGCTGTAGTCATTTATTGGAAACCAGCGTTGGTTTCGTTCAATCGTATTACGCATCAAATAATATCAATTATTGTTTTCATGTTGGATTACTTTTTGATTCTGATCCACCTCTCTTGTTTCATGTGACGGACTTTGGTACAACGATAACTACACAAAACTCACATCCATGTTTGCGAGTTTGGCTAAACTGCGACATACCTACCATACCTATGCTACGGACTTGGTTATACAGCTGAGAGCACACAAACTTTGCATCGCATTGTTTGCCTTCACACACACAAATAGACAAGTCACGGCGAACAAACTCGCGTATGATTGCCATTTTGATCACCGGCATCTTTCCAACCACGCCGCAGACGAATGACCCATAATAGGCAAGTGGCTTTCGTTCATATCTGAAGTCAAAAAGAACCTTAATATCATAATATCAGGCTAATAATGTGTGTATAAGACTTGGCTTGTTCTAATCGTTTCATGACCCATGGGCAATGGCCCTAAACAATTACCAAAGGCTCTTTAGTTTGTTCTCCATTTTTGGTTTTCCATTTGTACGCCGATTTTGCATCCTCCTTTAAACGCCAATACCCATTGCTCCCAAAAATATGCCTCTCCTCCCTGTTATCACAGTAGTCCTGTGTATCAATCCATTCCTTCGCAACGGTATAGTGTAAAAGTAGTCGTTGCTATCACGCTCTAAGTCCTGAATTTGTGCTCTGTTCGCGGTGCCACCAAGGTATTCTCAAGCGAGGCCAAACATTACACAGATGTCCTGGGCTAGACTTCATTCACCCACCGAAACGACGACGTCGCCTTTACAGCTGCCGTACGAGCAACACTCGGATGGATCCATGTCGCCTCGGAGGATGGCATCAACTTTTGCCTAAAGAAAACAGAAAATCAGCACTTCGCGTTCAGATAGTTTAGAGTAGAAGCTCTTACATCTGCACATGGACCCGTGGGTCCAAGAGGTGCTGAAGCAACAAGTGATGCTTGCAGGATCGCGGATATTATCCACAGGAGTACCGATTTCATGATGTATATCGCAGGAGAAAGAATGAGGGCGGCCTCTTTCAAAACTCGTCGCAGCCCTGGCTTTTCGTAGCGGAGGGAATATGTGGTCGAGAGAGGTATGGTAGGTAGAGATTTCCGACGGAGAGGAGGGTCGAAGAGAGGAGGCAGTGGGCAGCAATTTCAAGATTCAGCCACCAGCTGTAGAAAACGCCGTTCTTGTCTCTCTCGGCAGCTTGACAGTTGAGGAAACGAGACAAGTAGGAAGTTCGTCGTAGATTCGCCAACAGATTTTAGGCGAAGATGGCGGCAGGAACTTCTTGATCAATTTCCAACGTTTCACAGCTCGTTCTTGCGGATTCTGGCGAGCGTATGTATGGATATATATATAAACGCATATATGGATTTTCGAATTATCAGATCAGATCCATCAAAAGTGGCTGTGATTTGCGTCAATTAGCATCCCAGCAGCTATTTATGCATGTGATGGCGACCTGGCATAAGCTTGTCCTCGGCTTCGAACAAACAGCGGCTTCCTTCCTTTGTGCCACCAACGTGCTAACAAACTGGTGAAAGAAAAACAGCAGTTGGGGGGAATTAAGAAGGACGGGTATCAAATTGAAATGAAGGGACTGTGCACAGGCGGAAGAGGCTTCGTACCTTGTCTCTACCTTTATAACGTCAACGGTTCCACCCGCGTCTGTCTCGCTGTATAGATTCTTATATATTCCCTTCTTTTCGACAATGGCCCGTTATATCTGTTTCTGCATTGCAGAAGCCCGCCAAGACACACAGACACGCTACCAGGCGTGGGTTCTGAATACGAGGTCGCTGGATCTTTTTTTCCGCTGGCGTTCGGGAGGATCCTTGCTTGGTTCCCGCAGTCCCTTGTCTGCTGCGCACCGGTATGGAGTGTTTCTGTGCTCCTCGCTTGGTTCGACGCCCTTGAGGGACACAGGCACTCTGTGCTACAGAATTAAAATATCAATGGCTTGGTTCGAAGGATCTTCAGCACTGGCAAGGTGCAATTGTTTGTGGTTTTTTTTTCTTCTTCTGGAACAAATTCTATAAATTCTGCCAAAAAGTACGCATGGCATGTCTATAAGGCGGTGGGGGATTAATTTTTACGAACGCGACTGCCGTATCTATCGTGATAGTGGGCCGCTGAGAAGGAAAGACATTGGGACATTCTGCCTAGGTAGGTATATTTTTCCACATTTCCTCGCGTGCTGCGTCAATTGATACTGAACTAATTGTGACTGGCAGCTGAGACGAAAATGTTTCAATCTCCCCAAATTCCTCATTCTTCTTAGTGTCTCTCTTGCTCAATTATTAAAGACCCTTGAAAGGTGTTTCAGAGGCCTCATGTCTTATCAAGTCAGCATGGAGCTAATGCTCGTGTCTGATGCCCACAAAATACCCAACGTCCAGCATTCGATCCCACGTTGACAGCTGCCCGGAATCCACCAGCTGATTTCTTTACTCCTTATTCGAGTAATTGCCGACCCATGACGACATCGATATGATGTCGCTGCTCCTAGTCCTATATCAAGACCCTTGAGCTTGTCTCTTGGCATGGGATAGCTTCAAAAAGGGCACATGTGCCATCTCTGCACTAATGCCACCAACTTCGTGCAACACATCCCTTTTTCTCTCTGTCCTCCTAAAACAGCATCGACCGGGCACGATGCCGGAAGTGTGGTTGCCGGAGCCTGCTATTCGCTGGACCAAATGTCTGGGGGAAAAGAGCGACGCCCTCCCAATATCAAGAAGCCGCGTATCTGGTTCGTACGGAGTGGCCGTATTACCGATTACGCGATGGGGACTTTGCAGAAAACGGTGATATTTTTATAGCCCCGCCGAGAAGCCTCAAATTTCAGCTATGCGATGGTCACGCAGAGCAGGTGGCTTTGTTAGGCAGCTAATCGATGCTCTATTATGTAAAGCTCACGGCTCACTCCAAACGCCAGGCTTCAAGTCCTATTCCTGCAAACACCACTGTCGCCGTATCGCTCTCTGGTCCGCCAATGGCTGCAATGTCTCCTGCGTCTGCCACGCCGATGCATTCTCCCCTAAGAAGCTTGATGTTTCCATCTTCGCTGCTGGGAATGCTCCACAGCTTCACGCGCTGATCGTTACTTACACTTACTCCTAGAAGTTCTGGGCCGCGTCGGACTAATAGAACGCCTGCGATGGCTGCAGCGTGAGCTTTGCGTACGATACTTCGCTTGAGAAACGTCCAGCTTGCAGTGTCTGTATCGCGCGAGATCTGGCCGAGCAATGTTACGCCCACGCTATTGTCGTCGCCCCCAGTAAACACATGATACCCATCTCCTTCTCCTTCTCCTGATTTCATCATGTCTAGACTTTTGATGCTGTTTTGGTGCAACGGCACTATCTGCTCTAGCACATACTTGTGCTGGGTCCCTTCGTCTGGTTCAGTCCGCCAGAGGGCAAGGTGACCATCGGTGGATGCTGTGAGGAGTAGTGGTAGCTGATTGCGGATGCTTAGATGGCGCGTTTGGGTGAGACATGCCCCCGTGTATGTTCCCTTTGCAAGGAGTTCGAATCGGCCGCCGTCGCTTGTGTAGCGATACGTTCTCAGCACCGAATTCGAGAATCCCATCGTTACTATTATTCCATGTGCATTGCTGGATTTACAGACATCAAAATCCATAATTCGGAGATCGGCATCTGCACTTTTGTCTGCAAAGACGCCTTCGCAGACAACTGACAGGCCTTTGTAGTCAGATTCCAAGTTCTGCACCCGCCATACAAAGAACTCTTCATTGCCGGCGCTGCTGAAGAGATAATCATCCCCTAGCCAGGCAAGCTTTTGGAGGCCTGTGACATGAGTCTTCATAGCTGCCACACATCGTAAATCTGCCTGTGCGCCGTCTCCAGCAGGTTGATATTCCCAGATGCGGATGGAAGTATCCTCGGCACCTGTTGCTATATAACGGCCATTGGAGCTCAGAGTCCGAATCTCTCTTCCGTGGATTCCACTCTTTACCCACTCATGCCTCAGTTGGTCTGACGAAGAAATGGACAGCTTTGATGTCTTGGTAAACGCGAAACGGTAACGGCCAGATATCGATTTGCTATATGTCAGCTGGAACGTCCTATGCGCTCCGCCACATTCGATAGTCGCCAGTTCTTCTCGTCGTGTCTCGTTCCAAATGACAAAGTCTTTGCTTCTAAACCCGTACAATACTAGCTCAGGCACAGTGTCTTGGGTAAACCACGCGCCAGCAATCATGGGTCCGAAGGGTGGTGAAGTTTCGTGACGCAGGTGAAGAAGCACGCGTTCTGGTTGTCGGTCTATTTCATATATCCGGTACTTTCCATCGCGGCTAGTGACGAGGATGTAGCGAGAGGTATGCTGTGAGCCTGATTTTGGGGGCAGGGGGAGAATGGCGGTGATGGTATCGCGGCTCCTTGTTGCAATGTCTAGAATTGGGCTGTATGTTTCGTCGTCTTTGTGATCCAGGATTGATAGCCATCCATGCCGAGATCCAATGACGAGCAGATCATCTATTTTCCCAGCTGCAGTAGGGACAAATCTTGGGTCGAGGCCCTTGGTTTGTGCTTGGCTGCGGATGCCACCCGTAGAAATGTCAATCGAAAAGTAATGCGAATCCGCCCTTCCGTGAAGAAAGACCAATACCTCTGCCAAAGGAGGGCTCGATCCATCCCTATTCCGATTCGAGAGGCAAGTCATGTCTGTAATTTTGCCCTGCATGGAGGCAACGTGGGTGAGACTCTTGGATGAAAGGCTGAAATGGTAGACATTTCCGCTCGTCGTGCCCAAGAGAGCGGCTGTGGGATCGATGGCTTTTACGACGTAACAAAGCTTCACCTCTCCTTGAAGCTCCTCGGGAACATTGATCTGTTCCCACTTTGGTTCAGCGTCGGATTCCTTGAGATATCCTAATAGAAGCTTTCCATGGCTGGTAGTAACAAGGATATGGTCATGAGAGAGGAAATCATAGCGACTAATAATCTCCTTTGAACATGTGAGGCCCTTGAGAATGTCGCTGGCATCCAAAACCAATGAACCGCCGACGCCATTTGATGGTTTGTCGCTCAGGATAGGCTCTTCAATGAGACAGATTTGGCTGTCTGTGCCACCGGTGGCAATGAGGACAGCCTTGTCTTCGGCCAGCATGGCCCTTGACCAAAGGTGCTTCCCGTTATGCAGGGAGAATGTTTTGCTATGGGACATTTTCCCAGTTACCAATCTTGAGCTGCTGGGACTGGACTCTCCAGCCGAGTCATCACGGCTAATATCGAGGCGCCATCTCTGCGTTGTTGCATCTTCGCCAAAGGAATAGACGGACAAGGCGTTCTCTCCGCATCCTGGACCGAATTTGACTCCCCATATGCGTGATGCGTGTCCCATTACAGCTGCAATGGGAGTGCTCTCCTTGTTAGAATCTGAGACGCTGTCGCCACACTCAATATCGTTTCCTCCGAAGCCGGTATTGATAACCTGATTGAGCTGGGGAGCTTGAGAATAGGCCTTGTTTTCCCTCTCGGTAATGTCCCAGATGCGAATCGTTCTATCGTCGCTGCAGCTAGCAACCATTTGCACCGTGCTCTCGTCAGAAAGGGTAATTGTACAAATATCCATACCGAAAATAGATCCCTCGTGGCCTTCGAAGTTGAACAGCGTTTCGGTTGCCCACTTGCCGCCTTCTAGCAGGTGACATTTCCACACGACGACGTGGCCAAACACGGTTCCGCCGGCGACCAAGACGGTGTCATTTGATATCCAACTAAGATGAGCGGAGTAGAGCATCGGTCTTGACGGCGCAATGACGGCGCCGAGGACAATCTCTCCAGTATGATGAGAATACTTCAAGGGAATGGCCTCGTTGTGAGCCGTAGCCAGAACAGCAACAGAAGGATCAGCTTCTGAAAAAGCACCATGATAGATCCAATCAGGAGCTATCGCCCTGGCTATCGCAGGGGCGGCTTGGCTATGATTCACAGAATCACTACCATCATCCTCTCGAATGAGGCTTTCAACAGAGATGATGGCAACGTGGCAGAACCCCCACGCAAGAACTTGTCCATGCCGCACAGATATCCCATGGATAGGCTGGTCGACAAACACGCCCACGCGAGAGACGAAGCGGCCTTTGTAGCGCCCATTTTTCGCCTCGTAGACGAACAGGTCAGAGTCTTGACCTGCGAAGACGAAGAGCTTCCCAGACGGCGCGCGGTGTAAAGCCAAAGCCGTGACAGGGTCCTGGGAGAGTTCTCGTTTTAATCTGATTTGGCTTGCGGTCTTGTATACAATCGATTAGCTATGCCGTTGTCCTGGTGAAAGGGAATTGTGAGATGGCAGTGGAGGTGGGTGAGTTTAGATGCTTGGGTGCTGAGTGAGAGAGGGGCAGTTTAAAATTTTGATGCAGAGACGAACCATGATGCCGGCAGAGTCGTTGAATAGGCACGGCTCTTTATGTTAGATGTGAGCCACAGGCTCAATGACAATTATATGTTATACAGACATTCAGCAATGACTTAAGTTCTGCCGACGTTGTGTCGTCGAGTTGCGTGGTGAAATATTTGGCGTCAGAAAATTTTGTGCATGCGTCTACATATGCATTACTGAGTAAGGCCACTACCACCAACCAGCTCACTAGCACATGTCTGTCAAATATTCATCACCTTTTTCTACAGCCACAAATGATACAGCATGTTTAATTGATATTTACAAACACAGGATTGGCACAAAAGCAAGTTTTGAAGCTTTTCTTGTCGTTCAGTCATTGATGAAATGTATCCGCTATACTCTATTTACAGATTGTTCCCCGCCATCTTGGGTATCCAATCACCAACTGCTGGTGCCACCTCCCGTAGCCATCCTGGTCTTGTAAATATACCAAACGCCATGCAAAGGAATGTTTAAAACAAAATCGCATAGTAGCAAGCACTAAGCATCCATTCTCTCGTGATCTTTTTTGTTCTTACTTTCAGACAGTCTGAAGAGTCTTTGAAGAAAGAGATCACACCACACCACAAAAGGACTCCAAGATCCTTTTGATCACATCATTTTAATTACCACGTCTAGTCGAAACCCCTTCGGATTCCATTTAGGCTCGGTGAGAGTAAGGCTCGTAAGCAAGATCAGATCGGCCAGAGCCCGAGTTGAACTTGGGAGCGCCAGAGGTGTAGCCAGTCTGCTCGCCGAGAGGAGCATATCCGCGAGATCCAAATCCGCCAGTAGGGATGAGCTTCTCGCCATCGGAGTGGTGGTCGCGGTTCTTCTTCTGGCGCTTCTCGGGAGCGCAGCAGCAGATGGTGAAGATCCAGAAAAGACTGGCACCGATGCTAAAGGCAGCGCTGATCCAGATGATGGCCAGGAAGCGGCCGTCGATGTGGACCTTTGCGCCGTAGAGGTGCTTGGAGCCGTTGACAACACCGGCAATGACGGCGACAGTGGCAGTGGCGAGAGAGTCGGCAATGATGATGATGGCGGTGGTGAAGGCAGACTCGCACCACGTCAGGCACGAAACGGCCCGAGAGAAGTTTGAGAAAATGCCAATGAGCAGCTCAAAGGCAAGGGCAATGATGGCAATGATGAAGACAATCTCGGACCACTTGATGAGCTTCTGGAAGGCCGAGACGGCGTCCTTGATGTCCTTGGGCAGCTTGATGGTGGCACCACCCTCCTGGATATCAGTGGTGTTGATCTGCTTGGAGGCCCAATCGAACTGGGACTTTGAGCAGGTGAACTTCTTGTTGTCGTCGGAGGAGCAAGATCCCCAGAGCGTGACGTCGTAGTACTTGTGGAGGCCGAGATCCTCTGCGGTAATGTTGCCAACCTTGGTCTGCTTCATGCTGAAGTCGGCTCGCTTGAAGAGATCACCGCCTATCGTCGTCGGGTTGATGCTCAGCTCGCTGAGGTCGATCTGCAGCAAACGGACGTTCTCGTGGGCCACGCCGGCGAGGACTGCATAGAGCAGCGTGCCGAGAGAGGCAATGGTGAGGATGAGTGGCAGAGCCACGCAGAAAAATCGGCCGACACCCATTCTATATTCTGTGTTCCCTTTCTTTTCTGTTTATCTGTTCTGTTTATCGGTGGGGGGGTATCCTATTGGGCAGAGAGAGTGGCTCTGATATAGAAACGAGGGGTGGTTGGTCGGTGTTGAATAAAGTTCGACCCGAGCAAAGAACGAGAGTCGAGTCAATGCACTCGCACAAACAAGATGGAATGAAACGATGGAGGATGAGATGGGAAGGGAATAAGCAGCAAGAAGGGACTGATATACGAGTTGGGCAGCGGGTGGTTTTAAAAGCTTGGAGCGGGCTTGAAGCAGCGTCGGCTCAGTTGCTTACATGTTTTTTAGTGGGCTGTGTGACATGCGGCGAGTGGGTGGCGCAGTAAACAAAGCTGCTCTGCTGTGGCAGGGAGGGTGGAGTGGAGCGGGCAGTGCGAGATTCAGAGACGATCCAGCGGGATCCTGCCAATGCCAGCGCCTCAGCTCCAGCGCTCGCAATGCTTAAAAAAGCGCACCTGGGCCGGACCCATGCCTGGGGCTTACAGGATTTGCTCGTGCTCCAGCAGAACCGCGTAAAAGGTGGCTGGGGGAAGCATCTGGGGGCACTTGGGCTTGGGACTTGGGGCCTGGTGAGACCCGAGAGCTGCTGCTAGCACGAGAACGGCCTCTTGGTGCTTGTGCTTGTGCTTGTGCTTGTGCGAGTCCAGGGCCGTGATGATGATGGCGCCGTTAGTAATGCTCGCCATAAATAGACGGAAGAACGCATAGTCACCAAGCAGCTATAAATATCGGCCCCTGGTGCTTCTCCAGGCACGAAGCTGCCCTAGTACGAGTAAAGACCCTTTGACAGAACATTAGCAGTAAGCACCATAATTCTGCATTTGAGCACTCTAGTGAGGTGGAAAGAAGCAGTTCCGTGCTATTTTGGCAGAGCCCAACGCGCATTGAGTAATGCTCGGGGATGCAGCGACGATGCCGCAAAGCGTCCCAAACAACGGTATGCAGATGATTGACTGTTGGGCCGTCGCTGCGGCCTCCCAGGGGTTGAACAAATCCTCTAGATAATATGATGCCAACCCCGTATTGCCCTAGTGTGTGCGACGTTGGCAAGATTGGGTATTTCTTTCACATACAGTAGGAGCAAAGTAGCATCAATACCACCGCCTGTATGCCCCGCTAAAGAAAGCTGTCTTTTGCAGACCGGGGGCATGCAAGTTTGGACTCGCGGATGCATCCTGGCAGCTTGGCAGCCAACGTCATATTTGAGTCCATCGACATCAGGGTGGCCAAAACGCGTCTGGTACGGGCACAAGCATAGCGCACGACGCGCAAATCTCTTCCTGCATCTGGCAGCAAAGTGGCTTCCGGATCTTCATGAATTGCCCCAGACCGTGGCAGTAAACACGGTGAACCCTGAGTCGGCGATTTTTTTCGATTCTCTGGGCGTGGGCCTGCTGACGACGACAACAACAGCTGGGGACATTCAAGCGCATTTTGTGTGGTTCCTGAGCGCTGATCGTGCAGTCCTAGCTCTGACTGTGCGCGGAAGTCTACATCCGAGAGTAGCACGCACATTATTTGAGCGTTGGTTCTCCGGCACGGCGGCTCTTGGTCAAAGTCCCAAGCTCCAAGAGAAGAAAAGAAGAATAAGAGACACCCTTGGCCGTCGAGAATAGAAGCCAGGCAATGCATCTCACGAAACCGCGAAACTGCAGGGTAAGTACAGCACAGCCTGAGAAAGCAGGCTGGGTACACAGGACTGCTAGTGCCATTGCTAGCAGCGATTAGTGACGGGGCTAATGCTCGCCAGCTGGGCTGTGAGGTGAACTGGTTATTTCTAATTTTAGCCCACTGCGATATCTAGCAGCAAGTTCCCCTCTCTTTGACGATTCCATCCACGCGGAGGAGATTCGCATCGCAATTTGATAGTTCTGCGTGCTCGCTGATTTGCGCAGAGAAGACTACCTAGCAGTGCGCGTATTGTTTCCACACCTCAAATTTCTACCTTTTGTTTTTCCAAGTTAGTCGACCGGAAACGCAGACTGCCTCAGACTGGGCTGATTGGGGAAAACGTGGCACGGGTGGCTTACACGTATTCGATAGCGGCGGAATCTGGATAAGCAGAGGCTCATGCGTGCCTCGTTCCTGTGATAACCTACCAGGCATACTATTTTTTTTCTCTGCTTGTTAAGAAGGAATCAATTTGATACTGGCTGCAAGCCCGTCTGAGGCCCGGCGCAATTTCGTTTCGTCGCTTGTCGTTTCTCGTAGGACTTGAGCCTCCCGCGCTTACTTGCCTTTCTGGGCCTCTCTGTTTCAATATTCTTACTTTTGTTGACTGTTCTTCTGCTTCTTCTCCTAGCTCTTATCTTTTGTTTTAAAGTCGGAAATTATCATAAAGAGCGATTACTCATCCCCCCTCGACCCTTATTTTCGTCCTCCGTGAGCATCAGACGCTTAAGCGTCACACCTGGAGTTCTTTTTATGATCTCACTGCATGGCTAACTAACGCTTCTGCAGCCCTAATGTAGGCCGCTATGTTGTCGAACTACTTTAGGGGTAGCAACTTCACACCGCAAAAAGTTCGTAAGAAAGATGGAGATCTCCAATAACTCAATAGATATCAATGCATCTTGGCTTAAAGTTAGCGCCAAAGACACGATGCTTCGTAAAGACTGGCGATATCAGCCTTCCCACGAACGCACCCTACCACCTCGAAAACAAACATAAGCCGTCTTCTACGCCACATAGAGGAGCATGCGGGTGTCTGCCGAAGTGGCACCTGAAGCGGGCCATGATACGTTTGGAAAAACCAGAAAGGAATCGAGTTATTAGTCGGTTGATGCACATCAGAAAGGCGGTAAAGAGGATGAAGTGTTTGGAGGCTATTCTTTAACGGCACAGTACTTGTCGCACTCGCGTAGAGGCATATCAGAGGTTCATGGACTCTGTTTTAGAACCCATCGACAACTTGATTCTCGTATGTACAAAGTATCTGCGTCGCCATGGAAGTTGCAACAGCACTCGGGACTCGAGGCTAGGTATGTTGATATAACGTCAACGGCACATCCCGACCGATTGAATCGGGACAAGCCGTCTGGCAAGATGCGAGCCTTCGCTTCTTTCTGGGGGCTATTTCTACGCTGCCAGATTTTCGTGAAGACTTTACGATATCGGCCGAAGAGAGCCGGGAATTCTATCTCGGCACGAACATCATTCGAAGGATGTTGCCGTAGTTGTGAGGCTCAGCTGCTCTGCAATCGGGACACGAGCCACCGATAGAAGGGCAGCCAAGGAGCTGTCGCTGAAAAATGCGATGTCTTTGTAGGTTGTTTTGCCTCCGTATTTTCCTCGTGATATGTATGCGATCGACAAGTCATCGATATGGTACGTTAGTTATTCTCTTGACCCTGTAGTATAGAGAGCCGCATGTCGTGCGCGGCCAAGCGCCCACTTTAAAGCCTGTGGCTTTTGGGCACGAGGAGGCTGGGTTTTAAAATCAATACGAAATAGCTGCCCAGAAACTCATTGCGGCGTCAGCACGTGCTCGTTTGTCGGACGACTTGAATGCTCTGAGCTGCAAGGGCGGCACGACAGAAGCATCAAGCGATTGAAACAAGCTGCTGGGCTCGACTTTCTTTCCGGGCGCGTGGGGGCTGGACTCGGTCTGCGAAGGCGCAAGGCCGGACTGGGATTGGGCGGCCCCGGAGCCGCTTAGGGCCACTAGGGCGAACGCTACAGCGCCCTGAGCTGGCTGTCAGCGCCCAAGGTGCCCAATAACGCCAGGGGTCTTGGTCGTGGCATTGTGCGCCATTCGCAGTCCGTTAATTGGGAGTCCCTCGTGCTGCTTTAGAGCGTTTCCGCTGCATCGGGGCCAATTATGACTCTATGACTCTAATTCCCGTCTCTATCATTGACTGCAATACCGTGCAGAAAACCAGGCAACAGCTCCTTGTAGGCGTCCGGCCCTCCCCGCTGTCTCTCTTTTCCCCCCCGTCTTCCCATTCTCTTACAGCGTTTTCCCCTCCTTGTATTTGCGTCCGCGCCCGACGGGCACCAGCTCCGCCTCGCCGCATCCAGCCCAGCCCGCCACATCCCAGAAGCACGTTGCCTCGTCCGGAGCCAGCATCCAAGACTGCCGCCTTTCGCCTTTTGAGAGGTATGGGTGTGAAACTCTAATCGCGGGTACTTGTGTGCAGTATGTCAAAGGTGCGGCTGGCTCGTGTCACACGGCCCCGGCTGGGACTCCTTCGCCATCCACCCCGCGGCTATTCACAAACAATAGCTTGGGTGTAGCTCTTGTTCTAGCCTCTCTTCGCCCTTTATCAACACCTTGGATTCTGCCATTCTCCTCCACCATCATCGCAAGAGATCGCCATCTAGTGGAATTTGCTGCTGCTGTTGATGCTCCCGCGGCACGGCACATCGATACCATACACTTAAAGCAGATCGCATACGCCAGCCTCCATCGAAGCTGTCTGCGGATCACGCCCCCACCAGCCGTCTGCCCAAGAGCCCGATCCGCACAGTTGTGCTCTTTTCTTCGCAGGAGGCGTTGGAAACGAGAAACAAGGAAGAGCAAAGCTTGCATTACATAAAACAGCGGTCGAACCCCCCCACCGCCAACTCGCAGCTTCTCTGCATCGTGTCTGCGAGGTGCAAAACATCTGCTACTTCATGTTTATTGCTATTGCCTGATCCAACGGCACCCATCCCACCTAAGCCAGACGAGGCGGCGTTAGCACGTATTTACACTCGCCGCCATAAGCTTGCCGAGATAGGAGCTCCGAGTGAGCATCGCCACCGGGCCCGTAACGCTGTCCGCACGCTGTCCGCACGCTCTATCTAGCAGAGTTATCTGCCTAGTAGTACTACCTAGTAGCCGCTCAGCTGCCTTGGTATCTCCAAGAAACTTGTACGTGCATGCCATTCTTATTCTCTTCCTCCCTCTTCTCCGTCACAATCCCATCTCTTGCGGCGAACGTCCAAGCGAGACGAGACATCCTGGCCGTGCTTCCGAGACTTGGCTTTAGCACCACCAGATCCATGTTTCGGCCGTAGGCCCTGATCTGCAAGGTACCTTTTTTCCTTCGTCTTGAATCTGTTGCATCCTGCTTCGCCTGTCACCCAACAAGCTCTACAAGTACCCGTACAAGCTGTCTCCCGCAGAAGCTGTGCCTTCGTTGCTATCGTTGCCTTGCCATCACAACCTCTTCTGGATGCTGCGTTGACTCCTTGCGACGCCATTGCGTGTGCTTCGTCTCTCTGCAGAGTCCCAGCTCGTTGCTGTTATATCACATACACAACTACACTCACACACCACCCCGCTCCTGCGCCCTGCTCCCGCGTATGCAGCAGACACAACCGCTCCGGACCGGCCGCGCTGATTCCGCCGTCTAGAATTTTTTTTCCAACGGCCGAGGCCACTTTCGCATATTTACCATCGTATCCCCGACCTGCTTGTGGGCGGTTCCTGACCCCGGAGCGCTGTTTCCAGAGCTGCCGGTCTCGACCCGGAATATCCAGTCACGAGCTGCCGCTGCCACGACGTCATCCGCTCCAACAACCCTGAGCTCCCATAAGCTTCTCCAAGCTGGCCTGTCCTCCTAGGCTCTCGCCTAAGACAACCAAAACGGACGCTCCAAGGAGCCAGCGATCCTCTTTCTTTACCGACCTCGGTCGACGATTCCATCCTCCCTAAGACGGGCTGGGATTGCGGTTACTCATCTTCTACTAAAATCCCCGTCACGACTTTTGCCACGCGAGCGCTGTTGCAAGACGACAAATCCGATCAACGCCAGGTCTGGAAAAGCATAGGTCTGTTCGCCTCGTTGGCAATCTTGCGACACCTTTTTTTTTTCTCTCTCCGCAAATTTTGCTACATCGAAAAATCAGCATTCTCGCACTCTAGGCTCCCTAGCCTCATCCATCTGAACCACAATGGGCAACCAATCTTCCAAAGAGGGCGGCTCCAAAAACGGCGGCGGAGATGGCCTCCAGTCTTATCCTTCCTTCAGCAAGTCGGATACCAAAGACTCGACTCGATCTTTCCGTGGGCTGCGGTCTAAGATCCCCGGCAGCGGTAAGACCGACAGTCCGAGAAACTCGGTTGTGCTCAACGGCGACGATGCTGCTTCAGTCAGGTCTGGTAGGAGTGGTCGCTCCAGCATTTCCCGCTCCGGCAAAAGCACCGACACGATCCCGCTGAGAAGCCCCTCGACCGACCTATCCGCAGCGAATTCAATCGAAGACGGGCTACCCCCGCCGTCTCCAGTCTCCGAATCAGTCATGAGTGGCGCGCACGATGTGAGCGCTGCACAGGCTTCGGGCGAAGTTGACCACGTTTCCGACCAGCCTCCGTCGGCCAACGCCAGCCTCAATACGCATCTACTCCCTCCGGGCAAGTCCATTCTAGTGAAGCAGGCGGATGCTCCCGTCAAGAAGCCTAAGAAGCCCAAGAATGACGCCATGGGCATGGACGAAATAAAGGAGATGGACCTCGATGACTATATCAAGAGACTGCTCGATGCTGGATACGCCGGCAAGGTCACCAAGAGCGTATGCCTCAAGAATGCGGAAATCATGGCTATATGTGCACGGGTCCGAGAGATCTTCTTGGCCCAGCCCGCGCTACTGGAGCTCGATGCTCCCGTCAAGATTGTTGGGGACGTGCATGGGCAGTATACTGATCTCATTCGTATGTTTGAGATGTGCGGATTTCCCCCCACTTCCAACTACCTCTTCCTCGGAGACTATGTCGATCGAGGGAAGCAATCACTCGAGACAATCCTGTTATTGCTCTGCTATAAGCTCAAGTTCCCCGAAAACTTCTTCCTGCTTCGAGGAAACCACGAGTGTGCCAACGTGACTCGAGTCTACGGTTTCTACGACGAATGTAAGCGAAGGTGCAACATCAAAGTCTGGAAGACCTTTATTGATTGCTTCAATACGCTTCCGATTGCTGCCATTGTGGCTGGAAAGATATTTTGTGTCCACGGAGGTCTGTCGCCTGCTTTGAGCCATATGGACGATATTCGCAACATCGCACGACCCACCGATGTTCCTGACTACGGTTTGCTGAATGACCTTCTGTGGGCCGATCCGGCCGATATGGAGCAAGATTGGGAAGCAAACGAGCGAGGAGTTAGTTATTGTTTTGGAAAGAAGGTTATTACTGATTTCCTCGCAACTCATGATTTTGACCTGGTCTGCCGCGCCCACATGGTGGTAGAAGACGGGTATGAGTTCTTCAACGATCGAGTATTAGTCACAGTGTTCAGCGCACCAAATGTGAGTTAACCTTATGTCTTTGACGCTCCTCTTTCCTCTTACTGACTGTCTATAGTATTGCGGTGAATTTGATAATTGGGGTGCAGTCATGTCTGTATCGTCCGAGCTGCTCTGCAGCTTTGAGCTTCTGAAACCTCTCGACTCTAGTGCTCTGAAGAGCCATATTAAGAAAGGCCGGAATAAGCGGCAGCAAATGCTCAACAGTCCTGTAAGCAAGCCGCTCATCTGTCAAATGGCGTATATACTAACGATTCGGTAGCCTGCGCTGGTCATGCCTCAGAGTGTCTAATGACGCGAATTCTAAGAGAATTGTGCTCTCTATACTCTCTCTCCACTCTCAATACTTGCATTTTTCTTTTTCACACGACAAAAAAAGAAACCAGGAGGCGGCTTGAAGTTGCCAGCAGGCAACACCATACATCTTATACCATATTCTTAACAAGGGGGGCTATGTGTCCATGTGATTGATATGGCAAGGCAACATAGTATGTGGCTACTGCAGCCACGGGGTAATAACCGTGGCGAGGAATTGACTGGCTTATCTGAACGGTAAAACGTAATTGTCTGAGCCAAGACCTGAAACGGTCTCTTGGCATCACGCCCTGCTATGGGCCGCATTTCTTTTGGGCAGGCGGATATTATTCTTTTTCTCTTTCTTTATTTCTTTCCTCTCCTTTTTCAATACATGTCGGCGCCATGAAATTGGGAGGATCAATGGGTAGATGAACAAGACTTTCTAGCAGATAGGATCTATGACCATGGCATTGGAGAATTGTTCACTGGAGCTCTATACAAACTGAGCTCACGCTGGGGGTCTCTGAGACGTTCACTGTCATTCTAGATGATGCGTCTACTTGTTTTGGGCCAACTAGCGGTAGAAGATTTAACAATGGGGCTTTTTTTCTTCTTGAAAATACCTTTGATCTGGTTATTCTGTGACTTGTAGTGCTCATACCTGGGAAAACTGTATGGCCGCAGCATGTTTGCCTTGCAATATATGGCAGCTGTGTGCTTAGTCATCAAGCGACAGATTTTGGTCTTCGGCGTCAAGACCATCCCACTTCAGCATAGGAAGTTCAGTCCAGGCACAACAACCACCAACCGCCGCCATGAGCTCACAGACACTCCGCTCGCTATCGCGAGCGAGGCCAGAGCTGGGGAATGCTGGATATGCCCTAAGAGGCTACTTCCGCCAGTTCTCCACGACGCAATCGCAGTTTGACGAGACCCCCAGCGTCCCCAATGCCAAACCTTCGGCTCGACAGCGAACCCGTGCGGCGGCCAGCGAAATCAATGCCCTACAAAAGAACCGAACAAGCAGCCAGGGGACCCCCAACCCTACAGGCTCTTCAGCGGCGCCGGCACAGCCCCGAGTAATCGATGTGCGGAGTCTTCCCAGAGGAGGAACGCTTCGGGGGCGGGGTGGACTGCGAGGACGAGGCGGCAGCGGGCAGAACGCAGCAGCTACGGGACCCCGAACTGCTTCACCGAGCGGAAACCGATTTGCGGGTGCGAACAGAGGGAGGACGTCTGCGATCGGTGCCGGACGGGGAGGACGAACTGGTGGTGGCGCTACACGAGGAGGAAGAGGTGGGAGGACCGGTGGTAGAGGTGGAGCGGCAAAGGCCAAAGAAGGCGGCGACAACAAGGCTGCTGCTGGTGCTGGCGCGCGGGGAAAGAGACAGGATCCCTTTGAGAGAATGGACCCCCAGGAGCAGCAGTTTGACGACGCGATGCGATTCGGCACGAAGACGACGTATGCGCCTTCTTTGACCAAAGAGGGCCTGGCGGCGTTTGTTCCTGCGATGCCTTCTACACGGGAGAGCCGCTTGGCTGCTGTGATGGAGAATTTGAATATTCTCGGTGGAAGAGCTGATCCCGTGGGTGTGCCGCAGGGATTGCAGGCGAAGAACTATGCTGATGAGGTGGAGGCCAATGGGGCGCGGTTCTTTGCGGATGTGAAGGCGAGGGAGGCGGCGGAGGAGTATCTGCAGGAGAAGAGGAGGCTGGACCAGGAATTGGCGGCATCGTCAGCTGATGAGGGAGCCAAGGTTGCCGCAGGGGAGCAAAAGACTATTATCCAGGACGCCGAGGAGTCCATCAAGAAGACGATTCTGGATTCTGTCGTCGAGGGCAAGCACGAGAAGCCTGCGTTTGCGACGGATCCCGTGGGGATTTCGAGGTCGTGGCATCTGAGGGCGGGTACGTATACGCAGAGGGATGTGGAGAGCTTTGAGAAGAAGTTGACGTCTTTGCTGGGCGCTGCAGGAGCTGCTGGTGCTAAAGGCGGCGCTGCTAAGGGTGGGAAGAATGTGAAGGCGAAGGCTTGAAAGATGTGATGGCTTGGGAACAATAAAAGGGTGACTATATATACATGTATTTTTGTACGATTAAAAAGAAATGATAGAAACATGGGCTGTGTTATGATACTGAAATCTCATTGATATTCTGAGTTATATATATAAAAATTGATCATGAAAAGTGTACAGCTATAGCTGCTCCCTTACTTTATGCTGTGATAATGCATAAAGGGGGTCTTGTTTTTTTTGTATTGTACATGACGACGTTGATATCTACTTCACATCTCAGTTGCGATCAAGCTGCTTAATCACCTGCGCCTCCTCGCCATCAATCTCCTTCATCTTCTTATCCTGCACCTTTTGCAGCTCCTTATCCGCCTTCCTCACCACATCCGGCAGCACGGTGCCATTCTTCTTCCACTCCTTGAGCGCCTTCTCGTGCTTTGTCCGCGCCTGGCGCACCCTGTCCTTCCACGCCTGACACGCCTCCTTGACGCGGCGCACGAGGTCGTCCTTGCGCTCCATTTCGACCTTGAGGAGGAGCTCGAGCTCATTGTCGTCGGAGCGCTGGGGCTGCTGGTTGAAGTCCTTGCTGGACTGGACGGCGGACATGATGGGCTTGAGGTACTCGCGGTCGTTGACGAGGAGCGAGATGATGCGGCCGGAGCGGGGCACGATCTGGGCGAGCTCGTGGAGGGGAAAGGTCACTTTGGAGCCGTCGTCGTCTTTGAGGGCGACGGGGAGGGCGCCGAGGGCGTCGGGGTTGAAGCGGCCGCCGTGGAGGACGGCTTGGAGCTGGGCTTTGAAGTGGATGTCGATGGGGGCGTAGGCGGCTGTTAGGGAGGAGAAGTCGAGGGGGTCCTCGGGATTGGGCTGGGTGGTGTCGGCGGCTTTGGAGGAGGAGGAGGAGCGTGGTGATGGTGATGAAGATGATGGAGTTTCGGGGCTGTTGCTTGCGGGAGCGATTTTGCGCTTTTTGAGGAGAGATGAGGAGTGGCTGAATGGACGAGAGAATGAAGCAGCGCAGGGAGCTTTGTTGGTATGTGTAAAGCTTGTTAATGAGAGGCGAGAGGCTGGTGATGCAGAGGAAAGGCAGAGACGTCTGTATGTTTGGAAGAGTTAGCTGCGGAGCTCTCGCAACTTCGAATTGGCAGTTCAATTGAGCTGCTTGCATGGGGGGTTTTTACCCTTCCGGTTGCGCAAGTAAGCGCATTCCATGGCTGGCAAGGCCACTTGAACGAGAGAGCGCCATGGCGAATGATTGTGTGTGGTTGATGAATGGATTGGTCTCGTGTTGGAAGCAGCTTGTAAAGAGCTTGCAGAGAGGTGGGGTGACGTACATACATAGTGGGCGCGAGCTGTTGGATGATAAGATAAGGCAGCTGAGTTGCAACAAGAACAGGCACACTATTCTAAAATTGAATGCCCAATCTAGATAGACGAGAATAACTACCTAGGTAATCGGTTCATATCTTCAGTTCGGTCTTGTTTCTTTCCGTTCACGTGTTCATTTCATTTTCTTTGAATTACTCTCTTCATAGTGGCTAGACTGCACCTGTTCTCGTCTAACGTATTGGCAGCGAACAGACCTCAAGGATACGGATGTAATAGAAACAGTGCATAACTGGGTAGTAGTAAAAACTCACAAATGCTGTTTCGACTGAGTATAGCATTCTTAAACTTGTTCGTGAATGAATTGGGTATATTTCTATCTATATAGCTGCCTTGTCTTTGAAGCCCCTTCCACTTTGAAAACACCATCAAAGCTAAAACAAAAGGAGGCCATAACAATCGCCATTACGCCTATAAATGATTATTTAACATACTAACTAACACGCAATAATCAACCGGTTTCTACAAACCGGTCAACCCGAGCAAAAAAAGAAATCCATATTATTGATATGACCATGGCAGGGGTCGAACCTGCGACCTTTCGCGGTACTTCTGTAAGGCGACTGCGCTAACCACTGCGCCACATAGTCGTGTGATTTCTTGTTGGGTTAGCGGCAAGGTAAACGAGTATATGAAGCTAACATAAAAAGACCGTTCTTCAAATTGTTTACATGTAGGCACAATGATTTGAGCAGCCGTGCAGTTGAAGCCGCAACACGTTATAAGGAAAGCCTATCACTTTCCTTCCTTGCAAATTTTATTCAAATATTGTGTTGCTATTGGTTGCTTGATCTAGGACTACTGTTGGGTTGATCATGAGAACGCTTCCCTTGAACAAATTCTATACTAAGTCCGAAGAGCATATATATGATCGAAAACATCACACTTCACTCTCCTATTGGCTTCACAATCTTCCTTGTTATTTGTGTTATCATCATCTCATTGTATCGTAGAACATTAAAAGCTTTTAGCTAACCCCCCCATCTACCTCGTTCATTTCACATATTTAGCTCTGAAGAGGCTTGCCCATCCCACCATAGGTCATCATCTTTGTAATCTGGTACTCTGCAATACCGTATTTTGACCCCTCTCTACCAAAACCACTCTCCTTAACACCTCCGAAAGGCGAGACAGGGTCAGAGATGATACCGGTGTTAATACCAATCATGCCAACCTCCAGAGCTTCAGCAACACGGTGGACCCGCTCCAAGTCACGAGCGTAAAAATAGCCAGCCAGGCCAACTTCAGAGGCATTCGCCAGCTTGACAACCTCGGCCTCAGTCTTGAATTTGAAGAGGCCGGCAACAGGACCAAAGGTCTCCTCAGAGGCAATAGCCATATCGGCATTCATGTCACGCAGGACAGTCATGTCGTAAAAGTTGGATCCAACATCAGGTAGCTTCTGGCCACCGACGAGGAGCTTGGCGCCCTTCTTGATGGCGTCTTGGACGTGGTGGTCGACCTTGCCGATGGCGCGGTCGTGGATGAGAGGACCGTGAGTGACACCCTCTGCGAAGCCGTTGCCAATCTTGAATGCCTTGACCTTTTCGACGAATTTAGCCACAAAATCTTCATAGATGCCCTCCTGAACGTAGATTCTGTTGGCGCACACGCAGGTCTGGCCTGAAGATCGGAATTTGGAAGCAACGGCGCCCGCGACAGCAGCGTCAATATCAGCATCGTCAAAGACGATAAAGGGGGAGTTTCCACCGAGCTCCAGTGACAGTTTCTTGAGAGTGCTGGATGACTGCTTCATCAGAAGTTTGCCGACGTTTGTGGAGCCAGTAAAGGAGACCTTCTTGATTGTGGGGTTTGTCGTCAGTTGCTCGCCGATGGCGATGGTGTTATCATTTGTCGTCACGATGTTGACCACGCCCTTGGGGATTCCAGCTCGGTGAGCCAGCTCAGCAAGCGCAAGGGCTGTGAGGGGGGTCTCGGCGGGCGCCTTGCACACGACGGTGCATCCCGCTGCCAGAGCCGGGCCAATCTTTCTCGTAATCATAGCCGCGGGGAAGTTCCATCTGTGGTCATTTGGTGTCAGCGCAATGTGGTCTAAGTTCTAAGAGGGACATGTAACATACGGAGTGATCAGACCGCAAACACCAACAGGCTCCTTGGTAGTCCATACTCGGTTTCCTGGTACGCTGGCCGGAATGACGTCGCCGTATGTGCGGGGAGCCTCCTCGCTGAACCATTCGAAGAAGTTGGCAGCATAGGCGGCCTCACCTCTGGCATCTGCGAGAGGCTTTCCGTTCTCCCAGGTGATAAGCTGGGCAATGTCCTCTGTGTTCTCTACGGCAAGGTCGTACCACTTGCGCAGCAGCTTCGCGCGCTCGCGGCCGGTCAGATTTCGGAATGTCTTGAAGGCATCGGCGGCAGCAGTGATGGCGGACTCGGTATCGCTGGTGGTGAATTCGGGACATGTTGTGATTACTTCGCCAGTGGCGGGATCTTATGACGGATAGCCTAACATTTGCAGAGACATAAACAGGGAAGAGAGAAGCTCACCGGTGACCTCAAAGGTCTTGCCAGACTTGGCAGCCACCCACGCGCCATTGACATAGCAAACATCCTTCTTCAGCAGGGACGGATCTCTGAGCTATTGTTGCGTTCAAACTCCAATTAGCTTTCGGCTACTCCCAGGAGCGACGACATGGACCAATTGCGCCACAGCGGCCTGGAACGTACCTTGGGGGCCATGGTGGAAGCTCTTCTGACTAGAATTGACGATATACCGGGAGCGCAGCGATAGGCCGAGGAAGCAGCAAGTCGATGCAGTAACGCCATTGAAACGGAAGAATTGCAAGATACAAAGAGAGGGCGGAGGAATCTAGTTATACTAATTAATCTACGGGCTCGTTACACAGTCTAAAGCCTTCGATGATGGGGGTTTAGCTAGCACAAGTAGCTCTGGACGCAGCTTGGCGGTACGTGATTGGAAATACTCGAGTCTAGATTGCGGAGGAGGCAAGATGTCATGAACCGGCCCGGGTCAAAGCGCGGGTGGAGGCGGGGACCTCGATCAGTGACGTTCACGCGGCACTACAGCAGCGGGTTGGCGGGCAAGAGGGGTGCAAGAAACACCGCCGGTCTAGCACAGAGACTGTAAGTGATAGGCGGCGGTGTTTTTTGCTCCCCGCATGGCGGGGTACCGGCGCTGGATCAGGATCCATCTCTGCGACACTGCAAGCTGGCTGGCGGCCAGAACCGGGTAGAAGCGTGGATTACTTTTACATACAGGTGTGCGTTACATGCACATGAGGTAGGCCAGGCTTGATATGCACGAGGCCGGGCCGGTGGAAGCCACGCCGGGGCTGGGGCCGGAACGGAAGCATTAATGCCTGGAATAGGAAGTTATTTTGCTGCGTGTACTGAGACTCGTGACCAGGTAGGAAACCGTGTTATTGGTTATGTAGTTTCAAATTCAACTTGATTGATCATCGTGCTTGGGTATATAAAATATGTGACAAAAGAAATGAAAAATATATGTACATGGTTGCGGATTATGGCCTCCTTTTTTTTTTGGCGGGTTTCCTCACTCCAATCCTCAATCTCTGCTCTTCTTTCCATGGCCTCCAGGGCCTAGTATCATTACCATCCATCATATTGCTTGCATGAGAAAACCTTGCGCCATTGCCTTATCCGAATAACTCAAACACGCCCTGTTCATGGCGGACATATAACGATGAAGAAAGAAAAATGTCATGGAGCCAGCTGGCTCCTAAGCGTACGACACTACTTCACTCTCCTGTCTTAGTGGGAGCTTTCGGTCGAGAATGTGGAAGGCGTGTGTTCTCGGTGTAAAAGGCACGGCTCCCGAAGCCATTGGCTGCTTCATGCCCATCTCTTTCAGGCCGCCCAGTTCAATGCCCTTGCCCTCTTTTACAGGCTCTTCATCATCCTCGTCCTCGTCGGTATCCAAGTCGTTGAGGTGATTAGGCCACATGGAATAGAGAGAGAAACCAAGGAGCAGCAGGTACACGGTCCTAGAGTCAGAGTCAGTAAGACACATGGGTTATCGTGGGGATTAGCCGAGGCTTACAGCATGTATAATGTGATGAAGAGCGAGCTCTGTGCAATTTGACAGTTGGTGTACTGGCCGTATGGCTTGGCCATATCGCAACCATATCGAAAGTACCACGCGGCCGGTGCCGGGTATCTCGGGTCGGTGTAATCGGGTCCAACTTGGCCATAGGTGCTCACGGCATAAAGGACGACCAGAGCAGTGGAGCTGGCGACAGATACAATGGGATACCACACTCGCATGATGACAGCAATGAGCTTGCTGAGGAGGAAGAAGAGAGAGATGACGGCGATGGCGACGTTGAAATCAGTAAGCCTATTCACAGAGGGGTTAATTACGCTGTTCTTTCTCGTCATCGGGCTCTTGACAAACTGACTTTTGTGACCAGATGAAAGCGAGTTTCGGTTGACTCGTGTGATTGGCATAGGCGTAGAGAATGATGGCGGGGTTTGAGTTGAGACGGTGGTCCCATCCAATCTGCCACAGGGCAGTTCGATACAGATTCGGCTGTGAGAGGGCCGTGATGACGAGCAGAGGTATCAAGCCGATGAATTCCACCAGCATCAGCCAGCGCATCGCCGTTCTTGGGACTCTGGGCCATTTGCGATGGAGGACGTGGTAAGTCCACGGTCGACCTTTGGGGCCAAAGATACCCATTTTGGACAGCCTTTTCCTGCTTCCTTTCCTCGTTTTTTTTCTTCGCTTTACCCTCTTTAGTGAGAGGGAATAGCAGAATGTTCTAAATCAAACAGGCTGCTTAAAATGATTTAAGCTCGATAAGGCGCCGAATGCCAGCTTCTTCGCGATGCAGGGAGCTCTATGCGTACGCCGCAGCAGGACTAAAAGCTCATGTCCGCGTATATGCTCACTTATAAGTGATCGTTGCGCCCAGGCGTCGCTTTGTTCTGCTCTTGTGACCGCGGCTGTCTTTTCGTCGTCCCTTCAGCTCCAGGCTTTGATCTTCTCTCGTTCGTCCAAAATCAGTTTCACATTCGAAAATGGTGCAATGGCCTCTTGAAGGGGGGCCCGACGCATTTTATTCCAGAGCCTCGTGAGAGGGAACCAGTACCCAGCGCTTCCGAACTCTACTGAATGGGGGGGGGCGCTTTAGCGACCAACTCCCCCCCAGCGGCCAGGCGAGTTAGAGTCTCTGGCGCTCGCTTGGCGGTGGAGAAGCCTCTGCAAGGTGCAGGCGCTTGGGCCTGTGATGAGCTGCGATTGGCCAGACTGCCAGGTGACAGCGAAACCCCGGGCCAATCGCAGCGGCTGTCCTGCCTCTGTTTTAAGCGCCCAGATCCGAGGTGCATGGCACGATTGGCAGGCAGGCCAATTATGTGGCCCGCATGCCCGCCATCAGAGCCTGCGATCGCCAGACTTTCAGCGGCAGCGGGACCGGGCAGGAGAAATTTCACCTTCGCAGCGGCCTCGATGCGCTGCTCCCCTTGCCCGCTGCTGGTGACGCCGAGCACGTTGCTTGCAGATGTTTGGCATGGCAAGGCGCCCGGCTCGGACTTCCGTGCGAGTACGAGGGTGCTCAGGCCGATGGAGCCCATGATTCCAGCTAGTGCGAGCAGGTTTATTATTCATTCACGGCTGTTGGGCCTGGTGTTCAAGTGTTGTACAGACAATCTAATCAATGATTTCTATTCGGCCGCACGCCATGATGGGTGGCGCCAATAGTGTGCCGAGCCAAGCGTCTTGGCTCGTGGGCTCGCATTGCGGCTTTGGAGCTGTCCGAGTGCCTGGACGCCACAATATTGCGTGGTTGGCTCTTTTGTTGGTTCGATAAGAACATGCATGCCGGGGGAGTTGAGTTCCTCGGTCTTTAAGTTGCGTACATGCACCTACATATGCAAGGGACTCAACGTCGGCTTTTTTGTTACATCGACGATTCAGCATACAGTTCTGAACTCTGGTTTAGAAGTAAGGCACATACATGTAGTAGTTTCTTCCCGCGGGTTAACGTCTGAGTAAGCTTACACTCAGTTTAACTTTGGAACCAAGAACGCCTCTTCCGCTCTGACAGAACTATTATATAAGGTAAGTTGCCACCAGGCCTTGCTGCTACCACAACCGTAATGTGTAAATGAGAACTTGATAAGCGAGCCTCGCTTTATCAGTAGCAATTCCATGCAACATTATGCCACCACATCGTAGCAAAAATAGGCAGCATGTTATAAACCTTGCTTATTCTGTCTTTCATGGGTCCGCCCGTTTCTCCGCACGGGACGCTTCCGGGGCGGCAAGCTGAGACAAAAAGATGCAGTCGAGATGATCAGCAACATGTACATAGTATGCTTTTTACTGGGTTATATGTTAAGGGCATACTCAACTGTTCATCGATTTAGCATAAATTGCGACGAGCGATGATCCTCTATCTGAATCCCAGATTTGAGTATATCACGATTCAGCACATCGCCAAGCACTGCAAGGGCGCCGTCTGCGGGGTTCAATGTAGGGTAGCTTGAAGTTGACAGTAGGAGAGACATTTGATGTTTGCTTATGACCCTACCGCCGTAGTTGTAAAGCCGAGTTCTCGCCTAAATAAAGCTCAGACAAGACTTTGAGCTGGACACAAAACTATCACAGGCACCTAACAATCTGCGCTCTCTCGCAATTACTATACTTCATATTAAGTACAAGTGGGAATGCAGCTGAAAGGGCTGCCGGCTGCAAAACAGGCCCAACAAGCCAAGCCATCGCGTGAAATGGCCGCATATCGAGTGACCTGCAGCAGACCCCAGAGTGACGGGTAGGGATTACAAGCAAGTGCTTGTACCCGCGGCGCTAAGAAACATCAGATGTTGCTGATTTGATGGCAAGCTGATCAGTAATGGGTAGCACTTGGCAGACGCGCATGGATTTCCGGGGCTCTACTAATATCCCGCGAGCTCATGCAGCAACGAAGTCGTTTCGACTTGATGGCGATGAATAAGCACGGGCTAATAAACAGCGAAAAATATCCACTCCCTGTTGGTTTGGCTTTTCTGCGTAAGAAATTGATTCTGTTAAATGCTGGTACATTCCTTACAAACCGACCGGCGCTACGATATAATACTACTTACTGATTGATACCTCGGTCCTATGCATTTATATGTAGATGCGGGCTTGCAAGATTCCTGATCAGTAGCGTGAATCTTTCCTCTCACTTCTCGTTTTCCTAAAAGAGTAAAACAGAGCGCTGTAATTCCGAAAAGTCGCTAAACGGCCAGTCGTCTATTTAGTCAGGTACATGTACTCGTGTATCTAACCCAACACACTTTGGCTGCACCTATGAGACATGGCCTCACAAGTATGTGTCTACAAATACGAGTATCACAAAGCCGCCAAAGGCCGATGGTGAGACAGCTGACAGCCAAAGGAGCAAGCTAAGGTGTGCTTGCATGCGCTTCTTGGCCTTCTCTCCAAGCGGGATGTCCGCCGACGTACCTATGTATCTCTTCTGCGGCTGCCCTTGGGCTCAGCTCAATTTGATCTTCAGTTTTTCTCTGTCTTTTTCCCTTTCTGTGTTTTTTTTCCCGATGCTATTTTTTTGGTCTCATCTTTATCTCGGGCTTTTGATAATTTTTTTTTATCCGAATTCCACCCAGCGGCAAATGAAAGTCGCTCGTCCCTGTCTTAGTGGGTAGCTCAGACGAATCTAGAACGGTCTAGAGTAACGAGTGCGAGCGTGACCCCAAGTCCGCTGTGCGCTCAGAAATCAATTTTTAGTAAGGATCAGGTCAAATTCAAAATGTATCTGTATGGACTGCTACCTAATACGCCACGAATCCTTCAGGTGCTGTCTTATATGAGGTACGTTTTTGTACTATGTACCTGCATAAGGTGGACTGGGTTTATATGCCTGTGCAATATAAACACTCGCGGTCTAAATATCAACCTGCTTGGGTATGTCAACATGAGCCTGATATGCCGTGGCGGTGATTGCATGTATTTGTAACCAATTCCCGTTGAGGTGTCGTACAATCCGGGTGAGATATGTATGACAGCCGTTGTTTTGACACCAAAAGTCTTTTTCCACTTGGGATGCCAGCCGTCTCTTAGCAGAGGAAAATACCCAGCCTAGCTCGGAGCAGCTCCTCCACTGACCCCTGCTTCGCCACCTTTATTTTCACAGTAGCACTGCTAGCGGAGGGCTGATTTGCTGGAAATTACCCGAAGAGAGCTCCATTCTCATCAAGCAAGGAGAATTGAGTGCATACAGTAAAACGTGGTGACATTTGCAGGCTAATGCGCACTATGCTGCCGCGCAGGGAAAGGGCCTAGCCGGTGCGACGGACAGTGTGGACAGCCCAATCAGACACCGTAGGTGGACTCGGCAGTGCTGCAGCTAAAACAGCAACCAGGAAAAAAAAAAAAAAAAAAAAAAGAGAGAAGTCGACCCACGATAGGCCTTTTGCACCCCCCACCGAGGCAATCCACATCCATCCCGTCGTCTCCCTGCGTCGGCTCTGCTGTGGTTCCTCCTTCAGCTGCTAGCAGCAGTAGCACAGGGCCAATATCTGTCTAGTCCAGTGCAGGTGCCGGCATAATCAATGCTGCCACCAGCACTATTGCTAGCGATGCGACCGCTACGACCGCTCTGGCAGCCCATGGAGCCAGTGGGGGGTTTCTGGCCGGGATTGCTTGAATCGATGATTTCGCGGTCCATCAGCCCTTTTGCCCTCGCTGCTCTGACACCTGCCGGCTCTAGTCACCCGTTGGGCTTTGCAACTCCACTCAGGCAACTGCCATCCGGAGCCTCAGCGCTGATCAGCAGTTCCCCGGCAAAGCGACCCTTATTGTCGGGTCCGTCGACCATCTCCGGCACTCGTCTGCGTTGATCCATCGCCAGGACAGACCCGGTGAGTCTCTTCTGCGGCCGTCTGTCTGTCTGTCTGTCTGCCTGTCTGTCTATCTGTCCATCTGTCAGTTGCTGGAAGCCGTGCTGCGCGGCTCGCCCCTATCGATGCCGCCCAAAGCTCATGCTGCTTACGCCTGGAGCTCCCTTTCGCCATCCTGAGGTCCCACAGCCACGACACTTCCATAAGCTCAGCTTGCGCGATTCCAAGGTCTGTGGACACTGACCGAGTTCCGTTCAGCCTATACGTTCGTTTCAGCCGTTGTACTGCGCATAGGGGACTCGATACGTGGTCCTGGTCCTGGCCCTGCTGCTACTCTTTGCTTGCCTCCCCGGCCACCTCCTCTCTCTCTGCAGCCTCACCGCGAACACTTCCTCGTATACAGCACGCAAAGGGTCCTGCCGTCTACACGCCGTGCCGCAATCGACGTCTCATCGGCTGCCGTGCTCGTGCCCTGCCCGCATGGCCTGCAAAGCCGTTGAAAGACATTCCAGGTGCGGCTACCCATAGAGGGTCAACGGCGACGGCTCGCTCGCTCGGCCCATACCCACCCATCATCCACCCTCGCTCGTCGGGCCATCTCGATCTCGTCTGCACAAGTCCCATACAGCCATAGTAGGCCTAGACCCGTCCGCCACTCGGGTGTCCTGACAAGGTTCGACACCCTCTCCATAAACCCCGCTGTCAGTGAATCTTAGGTCTTGGTCTTCATCGGAAGCCTGCCTTGCTGCAACCAAGCTTTTCGAAGCGAGCTCCTTCTTTCTGTCCTCTGGCATCCTCGCCCCCTCCCGCCGCCTTAATGCAGACCGAGGACGA